TCCTCGTCGGACTGGATGCTGGAGTCAATGGGATCGTCAGGTCGAGCTCGGATGTCCTTGAAATCCTCAGTGAACATGCCGTTCAAGGAAGAGAGATACTGCTCAAGGCTCCAGCTGAAATCTCTCCGTTGTGTGAGCTCTTCCTCCCTGTTCTTGGCGTCGAAGGAATTGGGCTTTGGGAGCACCTTGAACCAAGATTCCTCTCCTGAGCTCCTCCGGGACAAAGCGGCTGTCCTTGCAGCAAGTGATGCTGATTCAGCAGCTTGGATCATTCTCATTGCAAGCTCCTGACGATCCATAGCCGCTGCAGCTGATGTTGGTGAACCAGCCACTTCACCCACTCCGGCCATGGCCACCGAACACAAATTCCAGGACCTTCTTGGGCTTTCTGATGTGGTCCACCCTCGAGCAAAGGGCACCGCCTACAAAGGAGCCTCCGCCGGTCCCCTCAGGGGACCCGGCTTCGCAGGCTCCGCTACCATGCGAAGCTTTTCACGCTCGGGCCAAGTAGCGATCTAGTTGAAACACTTCTCGATATGTGCGTGTCATCCTTCGATGAACTGCTACCGACATTCATGAGTACTTGCTTTACTTCCAATCAGGTTCAGAGGCTTCAGGTCAAGGCCCTCAGCTGCAAGCTTCTCTGCGTGAAGGATGGCTTCCCTCTCCTCTTGCGTCCTGAGACTGGTTGCCTCAAAGAGCTCTGGCTTGCATGAGCCTGCGTATTTCGGGCAATCAAACTCATTGCCCTCTCTGAAATGAATGAATAAGCAAATTTGAAGTGCTTTTCCAGGTCTGTGTCCCAATACAACTTCTTCAAGGCATCCACATTGAAAAAGAACTGCTGGCAAAGATCCAGCAACTCCTGTTTCGAACCTTCCCGCACCATTCTCACTATGTTGTCCTGCACCTGCGCACAAATCTTGACCTCCTTGGCCATTTTGCTGTAATATGTCCAGAGCTGTTTACCTGTTGACCTCCTTCATAAACTAATGCTAGGTCCTTGCGTTGGCCACAGGCGCCAATGCCCAAGTTCCAAACAAACAGGGTGGACTCAGTGTCGTCCTCCTCTGATTCAACAACACCTTCATGAAGCATAATAAGTCTGGTGAACCAAAGTTCACCTGCATAGAACCTTGCGCTGTCCCACCAACTGTACCGCCTCATGAGTTTGGTTCATGGTCCATGGACCTGGCAAGACCTCATCGCTGCCAGTTCCTTGAACATCCTCTCTCTTTGCTCTGCGCACCCATCCTCTACCTCCCCTCTCTCCATGCAGATGTGAGGCATTTAATGTTGGTTTGCAATGAAACTGGACAATGCAGCTTGTTTCCTGTGAAACCATGTCTTCTGGTTTGAAGGCCCATAGTTCACATTGAATACAGTTGCAAAGGAAAGCCAACAGCGAAACAGCTTGCTGGCTCTGAGGGCTGCCGGTCATTGTAAGTGCGATGGGTTGCATCATCGGCCACCAGCAGTGCAACAGGCACCATGTGTTGCACATAATCTAGCGCGCCCATGTTGATGCCACCCTGGTCTGAGTAGGGCACAAGAGTGTGTTGCTCTTTGAAACTCCAGTTTACTTACTGGCAGCTGTCTGGCAACCTCTTTGGTTGTAGTGTTGTAAACCCAAAAGGAACCACCCTTCCACACTCTTCTCTCATCTTCAAACATAGACATCATCCGTGATCTCAAACATAGCAATGTCCCAGCAATCCTAGTGATTTGTTTCCTTTGCGCGTTTCCTTTGTGCAAGTGCACTGAACTCCTCATCTACCCCCCTGCCTGGACAGGGAGGAGGTATTGCAATGGCAAGAATCCTGCAGCATTGCACTGGTGTGACCAAACAACAACCACCATCACCTCATCGCCACTGTATGTGGAAGGGCCCCAACTTTTTTGAAGATGAGTGCACTTCTCAAAGACTGCAGGAAGCAACTTGAGGTATTCCTGGCACTCAAGCTGTGCCTCATTCAGAACCAATGAAGATGTCTCTGGAACCCCTTCCCCATGGGATTGCATGATGGTCTTTCTTCTTCAACTTCTGTAGCAATAGCAGTTTGTTTGCTCAAGGAACCCTCTTGAAATTCACCAATCTTGTCTTCAACAGCGGTGCAGATTCTGGTGGTCTTTGTGCAATGGCCATGGTTTCCCACAGCCTCACCCACAAGAAAAAGCATCTTTGGCCACCTCCTTCCACCCTGTTGAAGTGCTAGCGCATCCCTTCATTCTCAGCAGCCACAACATCAGATCAAATACAATTGCACAACCCTCTGTGAGCACCATGCTTGGGACCTGATCTTCTCCCATTGATTTTTGGCCTGCCTGTGGTTGCCCACCCAATCTGCCAAGTCTTCTGTGATGCAACTTTCAATTTCCACATGTTGCCTTTGAAAGCTTCCATCTTGGTTGATTCACACAGCAGTCAAAGCTGTTTTTGCCAGACTGGAGGCAGGCCTCACAAAGCCTTCTCAGCAGTTTGAAGCGCAACTCTTTGGGTTGGCTTCTGGTTTGCCTCGTTGTGGCTAAAATGGAAAGCATCAAGACCAAAGCTCTAGATTCCATTGTATGCCACCTATTTGGAGTCAATGCTGTATCAGCACCTCTGTAATGAAACTCTTCCATGCTCAACTGTGCCTGGGTAAATTCTTTTTTGAATTCACCAAAACATCTTTTTAAAAAGGAAGCCTTATTTTTGTTTTCAAAGGCCACAGCTGCATTCAACCTGGCCCATTCCCATGCTGCACGCCCACTTGAATTTAATCTGGCCTGTCAATACCAGCTCACCAAGCCCACAATATCACAGTCAAGCCTCCATCTGTCCAGGCAATTTGGCAGCAACAACAAGAACCCCTACACACACACACGCAATGTCATTTGGCTACCTCGCAACAGTGACTCACCAATGCTTTTGCGACAATGCCTCTCGCCAATGGTTGCTGCTGGAGCGCCATGTTGCTCAAGTCATCCTTCAGCTCTTCCAGCCTGCCCCCAACTCTGGCCACAAATCGGCCTCTTGCTTCTTTCAACTTGGTTTTCCTGGGCTGCTGTGCAACTTTCTAAGCCCAGCTATGATGCACTAGGCTTGACTTGATATACAATTGATGTGAGTTCATCACCAATGCAGCCAAACCTCAAAATACCAAATTTTCTGCACCTCATTTCCCGGAGCTTATGCCAAGGAGCAGCCCACATGCCAAACCAATAGGCCATCCCCATCTGGACACCTGTCAAGTATTCCTTAACTCCATCCACAAACTTCCCCCCATCGGTGTGCTTGAGGAACCTGAGTTGGTCTCTCCGGAAAAAACAAAAATGAGCAATAATATGGAAGGCCTTTTGATTGTGGAAGCCAGCCCCAGGCCCACCAATTCAGCCAGTTGGTCTTGCCGCCCTTGGTGCACCTTTGGCACAGGTCTTTTGTCAAACTCTCCACCTGAGTGGGCTGTGCATGTGTTGAACAGGATGGATTGACTGTCAAGGTGTTGTAGCCCCTGAAAATAATAATACCCTGGACATCTAAGAGGCATGTAGCTGGACATTGCATCTGCGCTCTCATCTGTTGAATCTTTCTTGCCTCCAGGGTTCAAGCACCAGGTCACCAGGGCTCAACCATTTCATCAACAATCAGCAATGTGTATAAATCAGTGAGGGTTCATGCATGTCAGAAGGGCACTTCTTGCTTCTTCTTACTTTTCTTTCCCTTCCTCTTATTTTTAATTTTTCTTCTTGTCCTCAGTGCTGCTCCTTAACCAGCGCAAGAATGCAATCGCAGCTGCTTCAAACACTCAGCAAACAAGCAGACCCCTGGCCCAAGCCATGCGTACAAGCTTCGAGCCATCACTCCTGTCACCTTAGTTTCCCACCCCCATACATGCTTAGTACCCTAAATGGTGATACCACCCTTGGATGCAAATGGAAACAAAGCCGCAAGTTTCCTTTTGGGTTTTACTTAAGTTGCGCCTCAGCCAAGTCACTTTCCTCATCATCATCATCATTCTCCCCAGGCTCAGAAGGGGCTTCTGAAGAAGCAGCCAGGCTTCTGGCCTGCAGCCTGCCCAAAAGGAGGGCCAGTCTAAGGTACTGTAGGTGTTTCCTCCTCTTGCTGCTTGGCATGGCTTCAAAAAGTGAGGCTCAGGTCTTGAACAAAGGTTGCTCTTAGCAAATCATTGTGCTCTACTATATGCCTTCCAATGCTCCAGCTAGTGGTGGACTATTCCAACTTAAAACGGCCTATCTAGTTTATCTATCAGGTTTTCCAGACCTGTGATCTGAGCCTGAAAGCCTTTCTCTCCAAGAGCTTGGCTTCAGTGTGAGGGAGCTCTCACCAATACATCCTCTGATTCAGATTGAATTCTTTTGAATGAAATGGTATGGAGCTGAATGTTGAAAATATGCTCCATGAGCATCAAGCCACACAACCTCAAAGAAGACCGGTGTCCACCGTCTTGCGTTCCAGGGGTTGAGGGTCCGGACCTGGGCTTCCTCACCTTTTTGAGTTAGGGCGGATTTGGCTGGATGGTGTTCCTGCCTCGATCTTCGCTATCTCGAACTAGCCCACACACCTACAAGGCTTCCCCAACTTCACAGGACAGCGCTTCATCCGCCCTCTTCGCTCCATAGAGGCGATCACGACCATGTCTACGAGAGGCACCCCTTGCGCGCTCATGACATTCTCCCTGCGCTGTGCAGGAGGGCAGTCCTTGTGCTGGGGTGGGTCTAAAGCCAAAAATTGCAATTTTTCAGTCACGCCAGTAAACCCTTTGCTACATACCACAGCACAAAAGATGTCGCGTTGCCTGCCTCAGATCACAGTGAACGGTGACCTTTCTACGCATCCAGCGAAACAGCTTCAGCATGAGAAACCACAAGGGAACCAGCTTACTGCAACTTGTTACACTTAAGTTCAGTCAGCCTTTTTGTTTTGCCGCTTGCTCGGCAATTCTGTGCGAGCGTCTTGCTCGGCAATTCGCAATTCGAAGCAAAACCCAACAGTTGACAGCAAGTATATATACACTGACCTATATGTGTCCTCATGTGAGCCGGGATTGTGATGTGTTGACTTGCCGACTGAGCACGCATGGCAAACGGGCAAACCCATTGAACACGAACCCTTGTGCTTGATGAAACTCGTGTTTCATTTCGCGCCTGGAGCATTTCAAACTGCTCTGCGAACTGTTGGGGAACTTGATCCCAAGGCGGGAGTCGATTCATTCGAATCAACTGCCACGAATGGTGATATCTGCTACAACCAAACTGGTGCTCCGACATCTTACCCATCATCACCATCAGCAGAACCAGTGCCAACAGCCAACCGGCCTGACCGCGCCAAGCAAACACCAAGATTAGGTTCGGGGGATGACGATGAGCCCCTTCACCTTGCTCATGTGCCTCCGATAGCCACTCAGCAATTGAACCACTTTGCTCAATCAAATCCCACTGCTCGCTGCATGTCTACCACGACTGATTCAACCGTGAAATGTACCCCGCAAGCAAGTATCTATACAAGCTGCCGCTACAAATGACTTACGAGAAGAACTGGGTCCAACGCATGGGATGCCTATTTGCCACAGTCTACCAAAGCTGGTATGCAATATGATTTTTACAATGTAAAAGCAACGCGTTGTTTTCCCTTATCCTCTCCCGACCTTTGCCAGTGGCTGCCACCAAGGACGCCCGAAGCCTGAAGTTGCAAGCAGCCACCCCAACGCTACTCTTGAGACTGGGGGTGGACAAGTTGGCGAGCGTTTGCGGACGAAACCTGAAAGAAAAAACAGACGCATTTGGAGGTGTAGACGCCCCTCAAGTGGACTCATGATGGTGTGTAGGTGTGTAGAATAAACAAAGCGAACGACCCTCACCAGCAGCAACAGCAGCAGCAGCAGTGAACCTTGAAACCGGGGGCTGAACAGGATCCCCTTTCAGGGCCCCAACTTCTGGACTTTTGGCCTCCCCTAGCCAAAGAAGGTCCAGCTCAGGTAGCTGAAGCTACATCGTGCTTTTAAGCGCCACATGCACCGCTAATTACGTCAGAAACACCTCTCCAAACTGATAAAGGATTGCCCAGTGGCCACACAGCTTTCTTTGCAGCCATTTTCTTTTCCATCTCCTAGCAGTGCTTTGTGAACTATTTATATGGTCTGCGCACGTGGCATGAATAGCTACGATAGCTGTAGCAGCTATGGAGACGGAAAGGGTTATATAAGTAGGGTTATATAAGTAACCAAATGTTGGGAACAATGTTGGCTCAGCTCGCTCCACAAAATGTTGCCGCAACGACATTCTGCTAGTCCAAAGCTATCCAATCTTTGGCAGTTCGGGATGAAATGGATCTTCAGCATTCTTAAACACCTGACTCGGTCTGACAACGGCAAAGCCTCGGCGCCCTGAGCCACTTCATCCTGTGACCAAACATGGAGGCATGGAAACACAAACTTCCTTGTATTCTGCACAGTGTTGCGAAGCATGCGTGTCAAACTGAAAGAGATTTTGTGACAAGCTCGTCTTTGAGTGTACGGAGTTTTTCTATACCATGTGCAACCCTTCGCTCTCGCTCACTCTCCCACCCTTGGATTGGTGATCAGCGTGTATCGTATTGAAAGGCTTCTTACCTTTTAGCAAATTCGGAAAGTGAACTTTGGCTTTGGCAGGGCTACTTTGTCATACCCCAGACGGTAATTGCTGAGGAGCACGGGGCCATTTGCTCCACTTGTGGCAAGTGGCGGTGCCTGGCCCACTTGGTCACCTTCACCAATTTGCCCACTTGGCATGCCTACTGTAGAAATTGATTAATCAAATTGTATGAAATTGCAAAGCCAATGGACAGATCCCAGCATGGGATGGAATGAGAACAACACGTGTCCCAAATGACCAACCTGGATATTTTTGACTTGGCGCCCTTTTATGGAACATATATATATATATAAATCGCGAGACTCCAAGCGGACTTCATTGAGCGTTCTTGTTTTTTTTGCCGGCGCAACTATATATATATATATATATATATAGATAATTTGCTGACCATTCCATCTCCCCAGCCCAGATGCAAGCCAACGCATTTTCCACTCAGCGTTGTACATCATCAACGAACGCTCAGCAATTGAACGTGCACGTCAAATGCTCCCGCTCGACTGCCCCATCCACAAGAGTGGGATGGGCGTGGTGGTTAGCTCTTGAAGATAAAATGTAAGGGACATAAATGGGGCTTAAACACTTCCACTTTCACAAACCACGCAAGCTAGTCATTGCTAACCGTTCCATCGAGGCCAGATCGAAGACCTGAAGCTTTTGAAAAATCACGGAACAGCGACCCATATTGAGCGAGTGTCAAAATGAAAACTCTTGTATTGTTTTGCTGCATTTGTTGACCAACAATGCGAAGCAACTTGTTAGCCCATGGTCTGTGGAGGCTTTTAGCCAGCACCACATCGTCTGAAGCACCAACCTTTATCAGCTCTCCATATTCAGAGTTGCCAGGAGAACACACCAGGCTGAATTGAAAGCAGGCGCAGCTGGGACAATATCCCGACCCCTAAGTTCAAGAATCTCATACGGTCTGGTGTGCAAATCATATTGTAACAAGACTGCACAAGCTGTCAATGCAATATGCTGCGAAATGAAAGATGACCTGTGGAACCATGCCAGTGCAAGATCCTCCGGCCCTGGTACCCTTCCAGGCAGTCAGGGCCGCCCCACCAAGCGGGAACATATCACGTTCTGGTCGATCAGGAAGGGATCGCATTGTCAAATATCCAAACAGAGTGTAAGAGGCTGTTGTTTGTGATGCACTGTCTTCAAAAAACGGGTCAAAGTACACAGCCATCATCTTGTCAGCCTCTCTGTCTGATCTGATTCTCCTTTTCGCCACCTTGACCCAATCCAAAAAGTCATCAACATGTTCAGCGTATTTGATGAGTGTATGAGGCCGCACTTGCTTCACTCTGAGAGCCCTCTCAGCTGGACACTTCTCAAGGATCTTGTTGTATCGCTCCGTCTTTGGGATGGAGCTTAGTCTTGTTCTTCTTGAGGAAGAGCCACGCCTGCTTGGGTTCTCTACCAAGGGCAATGAAGTCGAAGAACCTCTCGAGCCCCCCTTTCTTTGCAAGGAGCTCGAAGTCGACTTGGCTCGGGGTACTTCTGGCAACCGGCTCTGCACGCTTCACGCTTCGATGAATAACTCCGGGTCGAAGTCGACCAATAGTCTTGGGCGTGTTGGTCAGTTTCCCCATGGCTCATGCAGATCTTGGCTTGCTTCAGAAATCATGCACATTGTTCACAAAAAATCTCAGGGTATGCGCCTGCCAAACTTGTTCTGTTGTAAACATGTTTGCCACCCGGGAACTCGACTTTCTGTTGCCCCTTGAGCCACACACTATGTCGTCGGTGACAACAATGCTTCTCAAGCCCTTGAAGACATGCAGCTGAGGTAAAAACATTGGTTTCCTTCTTGTATGGCTCACCATAGCTGCACATGTCAAAGTCTACCTCAAAAACTGGCCCTGTATGCATTGCTCTCGCAAGTGGCTCAAAACTGAATAAGCGTGATGATCTCGGATTCTCGACGGCCCACGGAACCCCAGCCCGATTGCATGCTACAATCACTTCACATGTAAAAAGGCAGGTTCAACACCAACCGCTTCCCGTCCAAGATTTCTAAGCATATTTTTCACCCCATGTCTAGCCCGCGACCAAATTGCACATGGAGTCCCAAGGTCCTTGGCGCACAAAGCCAATTGTTCCACTTTGGCTCCCTCTAAGCATTAATCTCTGAGTCTGTCTCTTACGAAGGTCAAAAGCCGGGTCGTTGAGGACCTCGACAGGCTCCAGCGCTGGAGCCCCACTCTTGGCAACGGCCTGACTAAGTCTGCCTGTCCCAGCGAACAACTCCAGGAAGAAACTGCTTCTGCTGTGAGGGACTGCGTCCTTGATGGCATCTCCGAATCGTACCTGCTTGCTTGATTGGCCAGGCTCAGCGCTGAGCCCACTGCAGGGATCTGGAATGACCAGCGGGCGCTATCAACGCGGTTTTTCTCTCCCCTATTGAAGTTGCGTGATGGTTCATCTGCCACGTTCCGCTTCGTCTCAACATGTCTCAAATGCCAGATCATGGAACAGCGACCCATATTGAGCGAGTGTCAAATGGAAAACTCTTGTATTGTTTTGCCGCATTTGTTGACCAACAATGCGAAGCAACTTGTTAGCCCATGGTCTGTGGAGGCTTTTAGCCAGCACCACATCGTCTGAAGCACCAACCTTTATCAGCTCTCCATATTCAGAGTTGCCCAGGAGAACACACCAGGCTGAATTGAAAGCAGGCGCAGCTGGGACAATATCTCGACCCCTAAGTTCAAGAATCTCATACGGTCTGGTGTGCAAATCATATTGTAACAAGACTGCACAAGCTGCGTCAAAGCACTGTCAATCAATGCAATATGCTGCGAAATGAAAGATGACCTGTGGAACCATGCCAACGCAAGATCCTCCGGCCCTGGTACCCTTCCAGGCAGTCAGGGCCGCCCCACCAAGCGGGAACATACCACGTTCTGGTCGATCAGGAAGGGATCGCATTGTCAAATATCCAAACAGAGTGTAAGAGGCTGTTGTTTGTGATGCACTGTCTTCGAAAAACGGGTCAAAGTACACAGCCATCATCTTGTCAGCCTCTCTGTCTGATCTGATTCTCCTTTTCGCCACCTTGACCCAATCCAAAAAGTCATCAACATGTTCAGCATATTTGATGAGTGTATCAGGCCGCACTTGCTTCACTCTGAGAGCCCTCTCAGCTGGACACTTCTCAAGGATCTTGTTGTATCGCTCCGTCTTTGGGATGGAGCTTAGTCTTGTTCTTCTTGAGGAAGAGCCACGCCTGCTTGGGTTCTCTACCAAGGGCAATGAAGTCGAAGAACCTCTCGAGCCCCCCTTTCTTTGCAAGGAGCTCGAGGTCGACTTGGCTCGGGGTACTTCTGGCAACCGGCTCTGCACGCTTCACGCTTCGATGAATAACTCCGGGTCGAAGTTGACCAATAGTCTTGGGCGTGTTGGTCAGTTTCCCCATGGCTCATGCAGATCTTGGCTTGCTTCAGAAGTCATGCACATTGTTCACAAAAAATCTCAGGGTATGCACCTGCCAAACTTGTTCTGTTGTAAACATGTTTGCCACCCGGGAACTCGACTTTCTGTTGCCCCTTGAGCCACACACTATGTCGTCGGTGACAACAATGCTTCTCAAGCCCTTGAAGACATGCAGCTGACGTAAAAACATTGGTTTCCTTCTTGTATGGCTCACCATAGCTGCACATGTCAAAGTCTACCTCAAAAACTGGCCCAGGTCCCCAACCACGACCCCTCCTGCAGCGAGCTCACCAACATCTTGGCATATTGGGTTGACAAGCCAGCAGGTCTGCACCTTTGCTCATCTTCTATGCTAAGATTGCCATCGGACCCCATGACTTCTAGCAACACCTGTTCAAAAGCATCTGCGTCTTGTTGTGCTGCCGCCGTCTTCAAGGCTTCTGGCATAGCAATGAACAGCCACTTTTCATGAGTGGCCATGGCATGCCTGATCAGGCGTTCTGGCAGGCCATGAGTGCATAGCCCTTGAGCTCCTTGCGAACTCAACCCAGACTTGCACCCTCTTAGTCTGACTGATGTCAATGAACCGGTATAGTGTGTTCCAAGCAACTCAGTCCACACGGCGCCAGTGCACAAAGCGAGGTGTAGTGCCCCGCCCAGATCTGCAAAGAATTGCCTTTGACCTTTTTTGCGGCGCATGTGGCCAAAAAGAACTTCCAAACTCTCTTAGGCTTGTTGATCAGCACTTTCTTCTCAAAGTCGAGGACACACCCAACAGGTTCAAGCGACTTGACAGGGACGCTCTGTGACCAGGTGAGTGGTATATCAGCGTTCTTGAATGATTCTGCAACATGCTGGGCCCTTGTTTGCACATCCTCAAAACTGCTCCCAACAGTCGTAATGTTGCCAACATAAAACACCCAAAGATGTCCTGTACACTGACAGCTGAGGAGTGGCCTTCCATTCCCGGAAAACACCGCCAGTCTAAGGTGCATTCTGCTTGCAAATGTTGAGAACTGCTTCATTACATAGAAAAAGGGCCCATGATCGACCCATCGGAACAGACAAGGAAACAAAATCTCCTCAGGATCAACACAGACCTCCCTTCTCACATCTGGGTCATAGACCTCTCCAGCAAAAAACCCAAGTGCAGACCAGGTCGCCGCATCAAGTGGGTGGTTGAACGTGTAGTAATGGATCAGTTCTGGGATCAAGAAGTTGGAAAAGGCATCGTTCACGTCAGCTTCAATCCCCCAACCCTGCTCGCTTGTCAAACCAGCCAAATCAAGATCGCCGTAGCACCTCGCCGATCTTAGTCTGGTAGTAGGCG